TATATCCACGTACATTTTCAACAGTGCGATAATATGCTCCAGAAGTTCTCCCTTCAATTTCTGGTATTTTTCGAATAGTGTCCATTTCACTGATTAACTTTTCGATTTGTTCTAAAGCAAAATCACTATTTTTCTCGAAAAGTTCTTTTATTCTTACATTGATCTCATCGAAATACTTGACAATTTTTTCGATGAAATCATTGTAAATTTCGTTCAAGGTCTTTAAATTATTTGCGCCATTAGCAGATTTAGTTCTCAACAATTCTGCAAATGTCAAAAAGCGATCATGAAGCGTTGGAGTTTCTTTAGCCGATCGCAGTATTTTCATACACTCTTGGAGGGTGTTTACATCATTGTCATTTAACCGAACCTTATCTAAGATTGGTTCTGCTTTTTCGCTGAAACTATTCAAATGCTTTAGCAGAAATTCAAACGTGTCTCGATACATTTCTTCCACTTTCTCACTTAAGTGAACTTTTAGAACATGAGATGATTTATATATCACGAGAATAATTTCAGCAGCTCGGCTGAATTCATTCGCCAAAATAGGCTCACGAGCAGATTCCACTAACACATCGAAACGGTCTTCAAAATCTTTACAACTTTTACGGTATTCCAGTTCAAGTTCTGGAAATGAATTTTTAAGCATACGAAGGTTTCCTAAATATATTTGAACTGACGAACTCGATAAATGCTTTTCTGCCAAATTCTGGCGTCTTTTCTGGAGTTCCGTGTGGATGTTTTGTATAAGTGCTGTAGGTGATACGAGGCCCGATTCTAAATGTCCACCTAATGGTTTTTGAATGGCTTGAATATATTCAAGAAAAGTTTTATATTCCCGAACGTCTCCTTCTCTTAATCCATCTTGACTTTCGAAAGCACGAGCAAACTTTTCTTTTACTACTGAACAAGATTCTTCAATATTTTCGCTTATGAACCGTAAACACTTTTCATATGCGTCTTTGACGAAGCCTTCCTTTGTCAAGTCCTTTAATACTTTCAAAATATCCAAGTAGTACTTAACGAGATCAATATTTTTATGTTTTGCTGCACATCGAATGCTCATTTCATAGCGTTGAGCTTCATTTGAAATAGTCTTTTGTGTGTCTGGGCTCATAGAAAACCGAAAAGCTTCTTCTGGAAACGTGATACCTTCTGCTCTCTGCAATGTTTCGATAAAAAATTTTGGATCGCCATAAATGGGATCGATTTTTTGAGCTTTCTTCATGGTTTTTCGAATCAAATCTTTTAATACTGCTACGAAAGCCTTATCCGATCTTAAAAGAGGATCTTGATCTATCACTTTTTCTTTAATATTCAATATATAAGCATGAATATCTGTTTTCGAAGGATATTTTGTAAATGCATAATGTATAGCATCCAACCGATCTTCTATATTGGAGATCATTTTAATCAGAATGTGCGCTAGGTCTTGAATGCCTTGTGCTCTGTCGCCTAAGCCTTTTAAACTTGATAAAGCAAGTATTTTGACACTCTTACAACCCTTCAGAGCTTCTATGATCCCTACCCCATTTGCAATGTCTACCTCTGGACCTGCTGTGTCCCCAAAGCCTGGTGCATCGCATAAAATAATATTTCCAGTCTCACCAGAACCAAGTATATCCTCCAACGGTATTGTTACAGGTGTAATGTATCTAGTCTCCGATTGACACTCTGGATTACTTATCACATCTTTCAACCCAGGATAGTTCGGGACTTTAACTGCTGTTATATGGTCCAAAAATCTTCCAGGCGCAACTTCTACGGGTACTTCTTTCATCTCACAACCTGCAAGAAATTGAATTGTTGTCGACTTGCCAGCTCCTGTCCCACCAATTAACAAAATGATTTCTTTGTCACGGATTAACTCAGCTGCCTCTTTCGTCCTTTCTACAAGTCTCTCTAATTCCTGAATATGTAAAGGTCGGAGCTTTTTTAAGAGTTCTCCCAGAACCTTTACCGTCGACTTATCATCACTACCATCTACAGCTGTTTTTACATTCTGAAGACTAGTTCTTACATCATTCGAAAATAACTCCTGTCCATTCACTTGATCTTGTAGATTCTTCAACAATGCATTGACTGTTTCTTTCTGTGCAGACATAGGTTCTTCAAGCAGCCCACGTTCAAAATGAAGCAGAAGCTGCATAGTAGTTCTTTCAGCACAAGAAGGCATAGTAGTCAAATCTTCATCCAGGTTCTGCAGATAGAATTGCTTTTTGTTCTTGTGATCGGGAATTTTGTCATCGAGTGGTCGTTTTGAAGCTGACGTTGCCCCTGCAAAAAGAAAGCGGTAAAAAATCAGATTATAAAAGGTTTTCTTTTCAAAAATAATCAATACCAATCAGTATTTTTGATTCAAAGCAACTAAATGATAGATGTCAATACATTTCGATAACTAATAATCGATCATAGATTTTTCTTTTCAGGAAAATCTTTGGAAATCGTTTAAAACATACTCGATGATTTTTGTGTAAAAGATTGAAATTGATTACAATAAAGTAACCTACTTCAATAATTTTTCTCAAGTAAATCTCGAAAATCGATTAATAATCTAATTTGTTCATAATGAATCGTACTCGTTTAAAACATTACCGCCGATTATATCTGGCGAAATCCATGAAATCCGCCAAAATCTAATTGATACAGGCACGATGTAGATGCTTACATGAAAGTGTAGTACATCCACACCCTGTGTTGAGACTAAATGAAGTATTAAGTCTTTAATACCAGAAGGTTCTACATGAAATGAACCAAAACTCATAGGCTTCTCATTGATCTCGATGCATCACTCTGCACAGTTGAGAATCAACTAAAACTAACTTCGACATCGGTTCTTACGAAGCTGAAGTCTTCATTGTTCCAGAATCTGCTTCAGCCAAGTTCCTTACGTAGTTCATGAATCATGCTCAAAATGAAAGTCCATATCTCAGAAAAAACTTTGAGTTCTTTCTGAAATATAAATCTCGGTTGCAACGCTGGAAGTACATCAAAAGAATCGCTTTCAATAATCTATAGACCCAGCTAGCACAATAGCAAACGTTTATCGCCCTCTCTTTTCATTTACATAGAACATCATGTT